CACGTTGGATCAACAGATCCATATAGCTTATTCCACAAAGTCACAAATTGGTTATAATAGACAACCACAGTTTGTCCCTTTTGACGCAAAGATTGAAACTCAGATTTCAATTGGTGAATACGAGGTCCATTGGAACCTCCATATCTGGTCTTCAGATCTAACCATAATTCATGAGCAATTTTATGGGAGATAATGGAAGGTTGGATGTGTTCATCAACACTGTTACAGATCCAAGAACAAATTATGGAATTATTAGCTTTCCATGCCGCCAATTCCTGTTCATCAGTGGGTTTAGGAAACCCGGAAGGATTGAGAAAACCTGCTCTGCTACGCCCTTCTAGAGCGTTAATAATTGTTTTCTCCCAAATATCATAATTATCACCTTTGAGAAGATGCTTCGTCAAGGAATTACCCGCACTTTCGGACGGGTGGATGTAGTACGGAGAACGTGCACTTTCGAAGGCACTCAAACACATACAAAAAATATATGTCATTGTGCATTTTTTGTTTTACTTTCTTGTTGTAAACTACTAAGTAGCAGCAGGGGCATCGACAATTTAACAACATCACTGAGGTGACAACGTGCGACGACTTTGGATGATTATGCCACAAAGGTGCGTGTAAGGGGGTATAAGGAGTTCACTCATCTGCATCCATTAATGTTAAAATTTGGATCATCCATCTCTGGAAATCAATCTTAAACCTCTAAAAGATAGATGAGATCAATTCATTGCTACCATTCAATAGCTTTTTAAGTTGTAAATTAGAAAGCGGGTAAAGTTGATGATAGCTTGTTTCAACAATCATGATTTTTTTAATCTATAATAAAAATTTGGATTTCTCGAACTTGTTTTATCTTCTTGTTGAAGAAGTGGCAAGGGATGACAAAGGTGGCAGTGGCGGCGGCAGTTGAAGGACATTTATGGAGGCAAACATTCAAGGATATAATGGAGGTAGCATTGGGCGATTGCAAAAGTGGCAGGGGGTGACGAAGGTGAGAGCGGTGGCGGTAGAGGCGGCAGTGGCAAATCGATACATTAATTTTGTAGAATGGAGGGGAAAGAAGGGAGATAGAGCAATGGCATTGTGCCTTGTATGATCAAGGGAAAATGGGTGTGTGAAGGGAGAGAGAGTGTGAGAAGATTAGATTAATTAAGTAAATTAGTCATATTTAGGAGTTTAAGTTTTAACTCTTATTTTGGGAATATGACATAATTTTTACTAATAGTTTGCTCCTTCTCCCTTTATAAAATTATAAGTAAAACGTATACTACGCATATCATCCCAATTTAAATTGCCTTTTTCGGTTTACTATATCGGTGTTTGACTCAAACTATTTTCAATTCATTCTATATGAAAAATGGTATAAAATTTAAAAATAAAAATTACATATTTAAAAATTACATCAAAATATCTACAAAAGTAGTGGTAACATATCTATATTGTTTTATCAAATGACTAATGAAAAAAGAGAAAGAGTGTGAATAAAGTTTGACCATATAAATAGTAAACAGACAATTTAATTTGTAACTAAAGAAGTACTATTTTTTTTTGAAAAATAAAGAAATGAAATATATGATGGATAGTTTTAAATATGTATGTTTAATGTTATTTTTAAATTAATGAAGTCTATTTCATTTTTAATGAAAAACATACGAATGCATCCGGAATGCATTCAGTTGATGGATGTATTTATTCTTTTAGTGAGTGTCGCTATCACCACCCATATTTCAAGTACTATAAGATCCTATTCTTTACTGCTAAAACTTTTAACTTCCAGTTTCTTTCCATTTTTTTCAGTTTTTCCCAGCTTTTTCTAGTTTTTTCCAATTTCTTCCAACTATTCTAATTTTCTTTAAACTATTCATATTTCTTTCAACTTCTTTCAATTTTTTTCAACTCTCCTTAAAACCACCAAAAGTCAAAATGAGAACATGTTAGGGGGACGGAGGGAGTAATATAGAAAGTATAATTTCAAATATATTATTTATAATAAAAACAGCACAAGTAAATTGAGTTGAAACGTAACCAGAAAAGCTTTTTAAAATTTAACATTTGATATTTATGCTAACTTTATATTATTATTATTTTTTTTGCAAAAGTATTTTTTGTATTTGGAAAAATAACAATGTTTTTTTTATTTTAAAGACATTCATTAAGATAACGTTATGATATTATTATTATTATTATTATTATTATAAATAATAACAATAATAATAATTTATATCTACAAGAATTAGAATCATAATAATATAAAAATACACTAAAATAATTTTTTTTAAAGTGTTTATAGATTTTCCAATTTTTTGAGATTTTTCTAATTTCTTCCAATCCTTTCAATTTCTCCTAGTTTTTTTCAGTTCCTTCCATTTTCTTTTAGATTCTTCAAGATTCTTCTAGTTCCTTCCAGTTTTTTCCAGTTTCTTTCCCAGTTCTTTTTTTCCGGTCCTATAAAAGAGGCTCTAAATGTTCTTATATTGATATTTGAAGTATCTCTCACAATGTTCTCGAGAGGAACGTTAATGTAACAATCATCTTGTTTTTTATCACTACATAATATTTGTGTGATTGTACCAGATTACACACATGGCATACTGCCATACTCCGTATTTCTTATTTCCCCATAGTACAAGCACTTGGTCTTTGTTTTCTCAAACAAAGGGGAATAACAATTTTCGATCATGTTACAACACCAAACTTGTCCTCACAATCTCACACAATATATGCACGAGTTTGTCCATAAAGTACTGCGTAGTACACACTATTGGTCTAGTTTTGCAAAACATATAACAAAAGCTAAAAGGGGGACAGAGAAGTCAACCCGTTTACAACCAACATTGCTAATCTAGGAGGGGTGTTTACCGAACAAAAAGAAGTAAGCATTGCTTTGGTTCAGGGTGCAAATTATGGTTGGTTTATGCATGTCTCCAAAAATCTTGGAGCATCTTCAGCGGGAGCTGTGGAGTCAATCAATGCCCAGGCTTGAGTAAGGCTCAAATCCACGCTGAAAAGTGAGAAGAAAAACAAATTAGAATTATGCAAAACAGTGCTGGTTTATATAGTTCGGTTCAAAGAATTAAGCAGTGGGGTCCACTCACTGAGCAATCGTCGTGGAGACGCCATATGGTTTCCCCGAGGAGGTTGGCGACAGACAGCACTGTTAGCTCGGGAAAGTAATTCTGTTCCGAAACAGGTATAGTATTGGTGACGATTACCTCTTGAAAGAGTCCACTAGATAACCTCTCTATTGCAGGTGGACTGCAAGCAAGAGAGAGAGAGAGAGAGAGAGAGAGAGAGAGAAAGAAAGAGAGAGAGAGAGAAAGAGAGAAGACACATATATCAATGGAAGATGATATGAACCATAAATGTCACACAGAAAAAAGAACTGGGAGGTGTCCCTACCTGAGAACCGCATGGGTGCAGCACGCGTAAACTTCTCTTGCTCCCTCTTGATGTAACAGTTCAGCTCCTTTTGCAATAGTACCTGACCCCACACAATTTATCAAAACCCATATACTCTCCGTATATACAAAGTGAAATGTATAAGCAGGTTTTGCAATCATTGAGGTTAGTGTGCCTCGGCTCCAGGGTCGTAACGGGATGTAGTTCGGCTTGTTCTTCTTATCAATACCCATAAATGAATGAACTAAAGAAAATACTCCTTCCGTCTCAAAAAGTCTTTCACGTTTCAAAAAAACTGTGTCCCCAAAAGTCCTCCACATTTCTATTAAAAAACCACTTTTACCCTTTACTTTTTCATACCCCACCTATCACATCATACCTTTTTCTTAATAATTTGCACATCACATCCTACTTTTACCCATCACATTGAGGGTATTTTTGGAATATCAACACAAAATCAACTCTCCCTTATTTTACCACTTTAGTCAATATATCCCTATCTTTATGCGATGGATGGAGTATTCATTAATAGCCCTTCATTTGAATTTAATGTTAACTTGTCTTAAATCCTCTAATTTTGAGAATTAGGTTAATTGAAAAAAAAGGTTTTGAAAGTGGCTTGATGTTAACAGGACTAATATAATCTAAAGGGTACTTTTTTTCACCAAAAAATGTTTTTTAGTAACTAGACAATAAGTTCACAACATTCCAAAATAGAAAGTGGACAACTAAATCCGAACGGAAAGGGGTATAAACTAGAGAATGGAAACAGAAGAATTACCAGCTGTATCAATCATGTCATCAACCATTACTGCTACTTTTCCCCTGACGTCGCCAATCAAATTCATAACCTGCAATATTAATATTCATATAAGGAAACTCTAAAATCAATCAACAACAACACTACCCCAATGCCTCAAAAGCTCCCGCCTATTGCGGGGTAAGGAGGGTCGGATGTACGCAATTTGATCCCTGTGTTTAAAACATAGAGTGGCTGTTTCTGGATGACCCATGATGAGCGTCGAGAGTTGCATTGACCAACTGCTACTTCACTATTGAAAAAGAAGTGCAGGCAGTCTAAAGTCAATCAAACGATATAAAGATGAAGAATTTTTGATACCCAAGTAACTACATAATAATGTTACTAATAAGTTCGTTTCAATAAACAACTCTGCTAGACTGCTACACGAATTTTCAGAGAAGGTTCCTTCTATAAGAGTGTTATATGGACAGGCTCACTTTAGATATCTGTGAGAGGCTACTGGCCAGATTTGAGCCTGTGACCTCTCACACGGCAAAACCTCAACCGGTGCGCCAAGGTTCCATTGGAGGATAAAGCGAAATTAAAAAACTACTTAATGCATCACATTTTGATCTCATTGAAAATTAACCTCTGCAACATTGTGAGCATGACGCCTTTTATCCACAATGGCTAGAGGTGCATCGGACAACTTTTTAGCAAAAGCTCTTGCCCTTGCAACTCCACCCACATCCGGTGAAACCACGACCAAGTCATCTGAACAGATTGTCTTGCTGGCTAGATAATCAAGTATAACAGGCTACAATTGCAAAGATATTAATCAAATAAATACATACTCCAGGTAAGGAAATGAGGAAAAAATTAAAACAGAACAGAATGAAGATCAACCATTGTTGATTTGTTGGCAAATCAAACGACAACACTACCAGAATCAAGTACGTCATATAATATACCTGACCGTGTACATGGTCCACTGGAATGTCAAAATAGCCAATAGACTGACCAGAATGAAGATCACATGCAAGAACACGATGAGCACCTGCTTGAGTAATCAGATTTGCAACCAGTTTGGCTGCAATGGATTCACGGCCTTGTGTCTGGAAAAAAAATAAGACTTTTCAGAAGGGCATAAGAGTACTGAGTACCTAAGAAACAAAGTTATTGAATTCAATTACAACTCTTGTTCCACGATACTATGTTCACAAACAAAAAAATTACCTTTCTATCGGCTCGAGCATAACCAAAGTAGGGGATTACTGCAGTAATATGCTTCGCGGAAGCTCTGAGACATGCGTCAATCATTATCAAGAGTTCCATGAGATTTTCATTGGCAGGGGGACAAGTGGGCTGCACGAGATATACATCACAACCTCTGACACTTTCTTGTAACTGGACATATATTTCACCATCTGCAAAGCGTTTAATCTTGATCTTCCCCAGTTCGAGTCCCATGTAGCAAGCAATTTCCTATATAGCATATACTGTACCATTAATACAGAAAAATCATACAGAAATAAATCAGCACTTTAATCAGTATATGATGTATCTCATGAACTCACACTGGATCTATACAGATATCAAAATACATACATGAGAAAGCGCAG